ACTAATCCTCCTAGGATTTCATTCATTCATTCATTGATTCACTTGCTTATTCATTCAATGATGTGAAGTTATTCACCTCGAGGACTTCAGTCGGCCTCTATTTCTGCTTAAGAGAATAAAGCCCAAATTTCCCTACCCAGTGTTGAGACCCTTATCTTCCTTCTCGCAATCAGCTTTATTAGCTGTGACATCCTGACACCACCTGAGCTCAGGTGTGGGAGTCGCCTTTCTTCCCACAGACACCTTCACCTCCTCTCTGCTTCTGGGTCACGTCTCAGGTTATTTATTAAATCCAAAGAAAGCACACTCCCTGTCATGCTACCCAAACGTCAAGTCTTCTTTCCTCCTTCTTTCCTTGACAAGTGCGGCCCACACAAACCTATCTTCCGAGAGCATATGTAATAAGGCCGCATAACTTGCCGCCTGGTCTGCTTCCAGGGTTGTCTGCCTAATTTCCCAGTGCCGTTGAGCAACAGGGAGAAAGCAGGGAAGAAAGAGCGGCTTGGCACAGCAGAGGGTGCGCTTATTTGCTCTACCTCCTGGGGAGCTCCTTCTCCCCCCCTTTTCAGTCAAATATGGGCCCCCAGCTTGCCAGCCTGTTCCCTGCCCAATGCCCTGAAGAGAAAGATGCCCATCTGTCTTCACTCCGTCCGAAGCCTTGGGAAGGGAGGTCCACCAGGGGGATTAGAATACAGCCACTGAGAAAACTCCCACCAGCTCCTGATATTGAGCATTCTCCACCTGTATCTGTGAAAAGATCTACCTAGAATATCCAAGAGAATCACTTGATTTTACTAGAACTAATTGATGACTGAACAGAAGAAATATATATATTGCCAACAATAAATAACTAGAAAATGTAACTTAAATCTTATTCACAATGGTACCAAAAACCATAAATTTGTAGACTCCCAAGGAATGGATTTAATAATAAATGTGCAAGGAAGAAAACCACAAAGCTGCCAAAGTGCACAAACTAGTCCTAAGTAAATTGAGATCTCTACAGTATTCCTGGTTGGGAAAAATAAGTAGCATAAAGATAGCAGTTCTCCCCAAATTAATCAATAGAGATAGATAGCTGCCATCGAGTTGACTCTGACTCATGGCATTGCCCAGTCGTGCTTCATCCTCACAATCACAGGCATGTTTGAGTCTATTGTTGTGGCTTTTATGCCAATCCATCTCACCAAGTGTCTCCCTCACCCTCGTCGACCCTCTCCTTCACCAAATATGATGTCCTCCTCTAGCAATTGATCCCTCCTGATAACATGTTCAAAGCGAGCAAGTCCGGCAATGTTCTCCTGTGATCCATAGGTTTTCGTTGGCTAATTTTTGGAAGTAGATAGCCAAGCCTTCCTTCTTAGTCTGTGAACTCCACTGAAATCTATCTACCATGGGTGGCCCTGCTAGTATTTGAAATACTGGTGGCAAAGCTTCCAACATCATAGCAACACATAAGCCACCATAGTACAACAAACTGACAGATGGGTGATAGAACTAATAAATGTGTGGAATGCCAGTCAAAATCACAATGGGATTTTTTTTTGGAGGGGAAACTTGATAACTATAAAGGTCATCTGAAACAGTACATTTTAGAACTTAAGAAATTTGGGGGGAAAATATGAAAAGGAATTTGCTGTATTAGAATATAAAAATGGGAGACTATCAAAACCACAATAAACTGAGTAGCTGTGTTCCTGGTAGTACAGAAAAGGCCAAGAAGGATGCCACTGAAACTGAGGGCAGGGTCTAGAAAAAGAAACATGACCAAGGTGACATTTCAGACCAGCAGGGAGAACCTGGAGTATTCAGTTACTAGTGTGTATTCATTCCACAGGTACTCGTAAGCACCATCCAAAGTGTCAGACACATCCCAAGCGCTGAGACCACAAATAGTGAGCAAGACGTGGTCCCGCGCTCGTGACAATTATATTCTAGTTGGGGAGACAGATAGTAAACAAATAAGTATATTGTTGTTGTTAGTTGCCCTTGAGTCAGCTATGATTCATGGTGACTCCATGTACAACAGAATGAAACATTGCCCAGTCCTGCACCATCTTCATGATCTTTGGTGTGCGCCATGGTCATTGTTTCAGCCACTGGGCCTTCCAACATAGGGGTTTCATCTTCCTGCACTACATAGGATAATATTCTGTCATGATCCATAGTGTTTTAATTGGCTAATTTTCAGAAGCAGATCACCAGATCTTTCTTTCTAGTCTGTCTTAGTCGGGAAGCTCTGCTGAAACCTCTCCACCATGGGTGACCCTGCTGATATCTGAAATACCAGTGGCATAGCTTCCAGCATTGTAGCAACACACAGGCCACCACAGTACAAGAAACTGACAGATGGGTAGTGGAGAATAAGTATTATGGTTGTTATTGTTAGATGCCGTCAAGTCGGTTCCAACTCACAGTGACCCTATGTACGACAGAACAAAACACTGCCCTGTCCTGCGCCATCCTCACAATCTTTGCTCTGTTTGAGCCCATTGTTGCAGCCACTGTGTCAATCCATCCAGTCCAGGGTCTTCCTCTTTTTCACTGACCCTCTACCTTACCAACCATGATGTCCTTCTCCAGGGACTGGTCCCTCCTGATAACGTCCAAAATACGTGAGATGAAGTCTCGCCATCCTTGCTTCCGAGAAGCACTCTGGCTGTACTTCTTCCAAGACATACTTGTTAGTTCTTCTGGCAGTCCATGGTATATTCAATATTCTTTGCCTACACCATAATTCAAAGTCATCAATTCTTTGTATAGGCTGTGATAAATGCTAAGGAGGAGGTCAACAGGCTGTTTTGATAGACAAAATATGAAAGAGGCTACTTTAGTTAGGTGTTTACACAATTGAGTGTCCATTTGGAAAATCAGCTAGATCCCTACCTCAGAAATGAAGCTATACAAGTGCAAAGAAAATGTTAAAGCTATGTTTTTTAATAATTTCAGGAGGAAGAGGTTTTCCCAAGCATGACATGACACCTAGTATCCTTAAAGGAAAAGATTAACATATTTGATTACATAAAAATGAATAACTTCCATGCTAAAATAGACACTGTAAACAAAATTTAAAGGGAAATGAGTCATCAGACACTAGGAGAAAATATTAGCAACAAATATATAAAAGAGGAATCAAAACATATATAAGATAAATAAAACTATAAGGTATAAACATAAGGAAAAGAAGACAAATAACTCAAGATAGGTAGAGAATATGAAGAGATACAAATGATCAATAAATACATGCAAAAATACCCAACCTTACTGAATTATCTGAATTGAAAACACTGATGATATTCCATTTTGGTCTAGCAGATGGGCAAGTATTTTAATACAGAATATGTCTGCAACATCATAAATTCTGATCTTGATGAGGTGAGGGCTAGAGAGAATAGTCACATTAATACTGTTCAGTGACAATATAAATTGGTTCAATCATTTGGGAGGGCAAATTTTAAAATATACATACCCTTTCTCCCCCAAAAAAAAATTCTTACAAATCACCTGAATATTAACAAAACCATGCAAATCTGTATAGAGATAGGTGCGTCCATTACAGTCTGATGTGAAATACCGAACATAATAATGTTCGTTTCTGTAGAAAAAAATTAAACCGATGTTGTTAGTTGTCATCGAGTCCATTCTGATTTATGGCGACCTTATGTGTAACAGAACAAAACATTGCCCAGTCCTGTGCCATCTTCATAATCATTGGTATATACGTGTATATGCCCATAACATAGTATCAGGTAAAGAAAAAAAGTTAAACACAAAACTATGTAAAGTATGGTCTTGTTTGGGGGGAAAAATACATGTATACATTCCAAAAACGTCTGGAAGGATAACCTAGTATTAAGTGAAGAACTCTGGAGAACAGGTTAGTTATATGAGAAAGAGAGCAAGAGAAACTTATTTTCTTTTATTCGGTACACCTGTATATTGTTTGCCTTGTTCTGCCTTGAGCACATCTTGTTTTTCCAATTTTGAAAAACATTTTTAAAAAAGAGATAGTGATAAATGGATTGGATCCTGTAACAGAAAAGGGATGCTAATGGAAAACTGGTGAAATCCAAATATAGTCTGGAGTGTAGTTCACAGTAGTGGCCCCATATTGGTTTCTTAGCTGTGACAAATGTACCACGGAAATGTAAGATGTTGACAGTGGGGAAAACGGTGGGGAATCTATGGGAATTCTCTGTAGTATATTTGCAACTTTTTTGTAAGTCTAAAATTATTCCAAAATTTAAAAAAAAAAAAAGTTAAAAAAAGAAAGAAGGGGGAAGGGAGGTGGGGGAGGGGAAGAGCAATAGAACAAGAGGGCCAGCAAGTACACAACTTATAACCAAGACATCTTTGACCAGGGCCTTTTTGTCCTGGAAAAATTTGGGTTCCTACAGAACTCCCTGACTTTGAGAGCTGTCTCTGGCAGTCCTCTCACACACGGAGACCCCAGCCTGGCCTGCTGAAGTTTGCAGGGATTATCTAAACCAAGCCTCTACGTAGCTGATATCCCCAGAGTTTTGCTCTGAGAAGCCAAAGTGCCGGCTCGCCTTTGAAACTGAGCCGGCTTCTCAGAGACCCCACAATTCCCTCTGCCCTTTGGCCCCTATTTTTTTAAATCTATATCCTTTATCCAACCCAAACCACTGTCTTCTCAACAACCTTCTCCCACCACCACCAATCTAGAAATGATATGGCTATGGGCTCGGGTGTGACGTCTGGGGCCTGTGTAGGGTTGAGGAGAGGGGTGGAGTCTGACAGTGGCAACATGGAGCTCATAATAATCTGTAAGATGCATAAAATCCACCGCTTCCCCCCTTGTCCACATTGCTGGTGACTCCAAGGTGAGGAGCGGGCAGGTTGGAATCATGGGATGCTGCCCTATACTGCCTTCTCTTCCTTCCTACAAGTCTTTCCGTGGGTTTCAGACCCTCCTTGACTGGAGTCCCCAGAAAAGAGGGGCTCCCTGGAGTGACTGCATGCCCTCTTGTCTCACTCAGGCTCCACTTCCTGGTGTTTGACACGGAGGAGGTCCACGACGTGCTGCGCATCTGGGATGGGCCTGTGGAGAGCGGGGTCCTGCTGAAGGAGCTCAGTGGCCCGGCACTGCCCAAGGACCTGCACAGCACCTTCAACTCGGTTGTTCTGCAGTTCAGCACCGACTTCTTCACCAGCAAGCAGGGGTTTGCCATCCAGTTCTCAGGTCTGTGCTCGCCTCTAACCAGTCCCATGTCCATTTGTCCTGCCACCCAACACCAACTCCCCTTCCTTCTCCCTCTGGTCCCCCCCTTTCCTCCATCTCTCCATTCACGTAAAGATTTTTACTGAGCATCTGCTTTGCACCTGGTACGTGGGAAGCACCCATTCAGATATCTGGTGGGGGGATGGGCACATCAATATACATTCACATACAGATTGGTAAGGATCTGGATGGAGGAAGAGAGACTGGAATGGAAACACATAGAGGGCCACCTTGGAGCATCAAGGAAGATGTTCCAGCAAAAATGGTGCCCAAGCTCAGACCTGAATGATGAGTGGAAGTTACTCGTGAAAAGTAAGTATTTCAAGGAGGGGATGGTCAACTATGACACGGAAAGATGCCACTGATCTGGGCTTTGGAGGCTTCATGGACCCTTATTAGATGGAAGAGAGGGAAAAGGCCATCCTAGCCTGAAGAACACGTGACAGTGCAGAAGCAGGAAAGTAAATTCCAGAATTGTAGGGTTGTGCATTGTGGCTGAAACACACGAGCATGGAGGAGTGCAGCAGAAGTACAAGCTGACAGTGGTTCCAGGCACGATAATGGAAGAGCTGATATGATATGACATAGTACAGGTCTCGGTAAGGACTGGAAGCCAAACACAAGTAATCTAAATTCAATTAATTGTGTACTACAGTAGCCAAATACGGAGGAGCATGACAAAGAGCAACCAAAAATGGGCAATGCCGAAACGTCCCAGTCCCAATATTGGATCATTTATATGATTGGTCCTGCCCTCTCCCTGGGACGAATCATCTTATCTCCTTGGAAGTGCCTTTTCCACCGCTCATCTCCCTGAAGAAGTGACTGCCTCGGTTTATGGTCATCTTTATTATACAGCAGCTGTCTGCGTTACCATCTTACTCCACTGTGCCGGGAGGTTTCCATGGGGATTCCAGAGCAAGTCTGTGGGCACCTGTGCCATAGCTTTGCCTCCCCACTTTCTCCCAGTGATGTATCCGCTAATGGGGGTTGGCATCTATCTCTGGCACCAGTGAGGCTGTACAAATAGTCCCCAACTTACGACATAATCGAGTTACAACAAACTGCACTTCTTATGACCGTCCTTTTTTTTTTTGTACATCTTATCATTAGTATTATATTGTAGCACATAATTTGCTGATGTTATCATTCTCAGATGTTCAATTTTTATGATTTATTATTCAACACATTTCCGGATTTATAAAGATACTGATAATAAATGACAATAATCGTGGAAAAAAAAAAAAAAAGAGGTATTCGACTTACCTCAGAACCATAAGTGGTACAAATAGTTTGCACTCGACTTCTAAACTAAAGGTTGGCAGTTCAGATCCACCCAGCAGACATCTAGGTCAATTGACATAACAAAGTTTATTAAGAAAATATTCTGCATCCTACTTTGGTGAATGGCGTCTGGGGTCTTAAAAGCAACTGAGCTGCCATCTAAGATGCATCAGTTGGTCCCAACCTACCTGGAGTAAAGGAGAATGAAGAACACCAGAATTGCAAGGAAAGCATTAGCCCAAAAGACAGACAGGGCCACATAAACCAGAGACTGCATCAGCCTGAGACCAGAAGAACTAGATGGTGCCCGGGTACCACCAATGACCACCCTGACAGGGAACACAACAGAGAGTCCCGATGGAGCAGGAGAAAGGTGGGGTGCAGAACTCAAATTCTAGTAAGAAGACCAGACTTAATGGTCTGACTGAGACTGAAGGAACCCTGGAAAGCATGGCACCCAGATTCTCTATCAGCCCAGAACTAAAGCAGTTTCAAAGGCCAACTCTTCAGACAGGGATTGGGCTGGACTGTGGAACATAAAGTGATACTCGTGAGGAGTGTGCCTCTTAGCTCAAGTAGATACAAGAGACTAAACGGGCAGCTTCTGTCCGGAGGTGAGATGGGTAGGCAAAGAGGGTCAGGAGCTGGCTGAATGGACACGGGAAATCAAGGGTGGAAAGGAGGAATGTGCTGTCACAGAATAGGGAGAGCATCTAGGGTCGCATAACAATGTATGTATAAATTTTTGTATGAGAGACTAACTTGAATTGTAAACTTTCACTTAAAGTACAACAATAAATTTAAAAAAAAAGATCCACCCAGCTGCACTATGGAAGAAAGGCCTGGTGATCTACTTCTGTAAAGATTACAGCCAAGAACACCCTATGGAGCAGTTCTACTCTGTAATACATGAGGTTGTCTTAAGTTGGCATTGACTCGACAGCAATGTGTTTGGTTTTGGTTTTTTGATATTCACTCATGGAGAGAGTACATGAGTGACATTGAACTCAGCATAGGAATTAGGGTCCCACTAGGGAGCAGCAAGGGGGCTGGAGTTTAAATGAGCATTTCCCAAAGGCTGTTCCCTAGAGTTGCATGGAATATTAATTGGTATTGCAAGAAAAAGAAGTTTGCATGGTCAAGTCATGTTGGGAATGGGGTTGAGGCAGACCTAAAGAGGTTTTCTTTGATGTGGGACTTCCTGAAACTTTTGGTATTTAATACATGTGAATTCAAATGGTGTCTGGTATGTCACAATTTGCAAACATACTTGACCATGGATGACTTTTTTCTAGGCCATCTCAACAGACTAGTGTTTCATGGGACAAACTTTGCAAATTGCTAGGATAAGCAATGGAAAGATCTCATGGCAATAAGGAGGGGAAAATGCAGTCTGTCTCTGTCTCTGGGTAAAGGAATGTTATGAATAATTAAAGCCAGACATGTACTTTTCTCTGACTGTGCCCAAGCCATTGGGTATGGCTTTAAAAAAGAAAAAAAAAAAAAAAACTCATAATGGTACTGACGAAGTCCCCCATGGATTTGTATCATCTGACCTCCGCTGTGTCCTAGCCCTGCCACGTGGGACAGACTCCCTGGCCACTGTCACCTTTGCTCAGGCTGCTTTCTTATGTGTTGTTGCTTGTCCCGTACAAATCCATTTGTCCTTCAAGGTTCATCCTCCTGATCTCCCCATTCTGAATAAATTGCTGTAGCCTCTAGCCCTCCAGCGTTTGACTTCTCCTTCCTCAGCACATTGTCAGTACCAGTCTGCCTTTTCTTGGAGCTGGTCACCCGCTTGTCATTGCATGGAGAGCTCTTTGAGGGTTGGGACCACACTGTGCCTCTCGGATGCCCCCACAGTGAATGCATGCCGTAGGTGCTCACTTACTGCTCACTGAACGAATGAGCACAAGAAGAAATTAATAGATGAATGGATGGTTTCTCTAATATGAGAGTTTTCTTGGACAAGCTGCTCTGAGCATTTCTTAGGCCTGCAGAGCAGGGACTCATCAGGCTTCCTAGCCTCGGCTCCCAAAGGCCGTGGCAACCCAGCCCAGTGTTCTGGGCATAACTGAGGTTTGGGAAAGGTCACCTTCCCTGTTGCTGTCATCAGTCAGCAAATACCAGGACTACTCTAGGGAGGCAAGAATGGCTCACCCCATGTTAACTTTATAGTGTGTGTTTGACAGGGGATTGTAGGGAAATGCCAGGGACGATTAGTCCAGGCTTGGCTTATTAAGTAAACATGACTGTGTAACATCTAACATCCTGAATGTACCACGTGGATCCAGCCTGCTGCCGGGGGCTTTGCCGAGAAGCTCAAACTTAGGAGCATTAAAGAGAGAAAGTGAGAACAAGAAAAGGTGAGGGGGGAGCACAGAGGGAGAGGGAAGTATAATCGCTACCATCTACTGAGGGAGTGCCATGCTAAGCTCTCTACTCATTTCTCTTACAATTTTCACAGAAACTTTAAGGTGTGAGTCCCATTATTAATCCACATTGCAGATGTGGGCTCTGAAACCCAGAGAAGTTTCTCAGCCAAGGCCATCTGGTTAATACGTAGCAGAGCCTGGATCGAAGCCCCTGTTTCTGATTCCCAAACCCAAGCTCTTAATCACTGCAGTCTATTGCCAACAATATAAATATTCTTTCCAAATATGTCCAGAACAGTGAGCTGTTTTTCTTCTAGGGAACCGTTTCCATTTGTAGAGTGCCATGTAAAGTTTGAGATGAAAGCTAAGCCTTTTTTCAATTGGGAAGAAAGTAGATTGATCTTGATTTGACTTTATAAATAAATTCAGTGTCAGATGGTGATGATTTGTCCATTCATTCATTCAAAAAATATTTATCAAGCACGACTGTGTGATGGATACTGTTCTAAGCCCTGGGGACACACTTGGGAGCAAGACAGCCATGGTCCCTATTCTCATAGAGGCATACAAGTGATGTACAGTAAAGACGCAAATAAATAAATTAGCAAGGTCATTACAGACTGTGCTGTATGAAAAGAACAAAAGAGGATAATGTGACAGAAGAAGGTTAAGGGATGAGCCCAGAAGAAGTTGCTCAAAGAGGCCTGTCTGAAGAGGTGGTATTGGAACTGAGAGCTGAATGACAACATGCAGCTAGCATAGGAAGAGCTCCAGCAAGATCATTCCAGTCAGAAGGGCCAGCAAGTGCAAAGGCCCTGAGGGTAGACTGAGCTTGATATTGGACAAACATTTTACAAATGTGGCTGGGGCATAGTGATGGTAGGTCATTAATGATGTTAATGATTAAATCTGGATGAAAGCAAAGAATGTGTTTTTAAAAACTGGTATCAAAAGAGGAGGGCTTAAGATAGGATACCATATGTCACGGATTGAATTATGTCCCCTAAAAAAGTGTGTGTATCAGTTTGGCTGGGCCATGATTCCCGGTATTATGTGATTTTCCTATATGTTATAAAAATCCTGCCTCTATGATGTTAATGAGGAGGATGGGTGGCAGTTGTGTTAGTAAGGCAGGACTCAATCTACAAGTTTGGATTGTGTCCTGAGGCAATCTCTTGAGATATAAGAGGGAGAAGTGAGCAGAGAGACAGAGGGACCTCATGCCACCAAGAAAGCAGTGCCAGGAGCAGAGCATGTCCTTTGGACCTGGGGTCCCTGCGTGGAGAAGCTCCTAGTCCAGGGGAGCATTGATGAGAAGGCTGACAGAGAGAAAAAGCCTTCCCCTGGAACTGACGCCCTGAATTTGGACTTTTAGCCTACTTTACTGTGAAGAAATAAATTTCTCTTTGTTAAAGCCATCCACTTGTGGTATTCCTGTTATAGCAGCAATAGATGACTAAGATACCATATACTAGAGGTTGGCAAACTTTTTTCTGTAAAAGACCAGATAGTAAATATTTCAGGCTTTAGGGGCTGTACATTCTCTGCTGTAATGATTCAACTCTGCTGTTATAGCATGAATGCAGCCATAGACAACAGGTAAATAAATGAGCATGACTGTGTTCCAATAAAACTTTATTTACAAAAACAGACATAGAGCCAGATTAGGCAGTGGGCTGTGTTTTGTCATACACTGTCCTAAGGTGTTATTCGATATTAAAAAACCCATTTCCAATGAGTCATTTCCGACTCATAGAAACCCTATACATTGGATGTAAGGATTAGATACTGTAACTCCAGACTCATCCACATAATCCTCAATCTTATAGTTAATAATATTAGTGTGTACAATTTCCCTAGGCCGGTGCTTCTCAAACTTTCCCACTGAAGCGCTCCTAATAGCAGAAGAAAATTGAGTGCACACCCCCAGGGGGTCTGGAGGGTGAAGCAAGCACAAAATCTCTTTGAGTCTTTATGTTTTCATTTAAGAACTAATGTGAATTGCACATTCTACTCCATAATAAATTCATTTGTTTTAGGATCAAAATCATTTTTCCCAAAAAGTTTTAGAAAAACTCACCCTCTGAGCAAATGAGCATTACTTATGCTATGGGCTCCAGAACCTGCTGCCCCCACGGTCTGCCAATCACAGTTTGCTGATGATGGCAGAGGCGGGCACCAAGCCCCACTGTCAGCTTTGGGCTGTGGAGGCAGCTGGGGTAGTTACAGCTGCCTCAGAACCTCTTCTCTGGACTTTCCTTTGATATCAGTTTCTTTGTAGTGATTCCACTTGTTGCATTTGCTTATGCATTCACTCACCCGTTCTTTTATTCCTTCCTTTCTTCCATTACTCACTCAGTGTTTTAAAACACGTGCTGTAGGTTAAGTACGAGACTGCAAACATCTCCCACATTCCTGAGTTTTTGAATTATAATATTCTCAGTCACTCATGTTTGTTTTGAAGTCTGCCTTGCCACTTGCTACAAACATCTGATTTTTCTTTGAGCATAGTTGCGTTATGATGGGTCCTTGGTTGTTTGCCCTACAAGGGAGAGCATGGTCTTCACTCAACTTCGGCAAATCCCTGCCGTCCCACAACCACTGCTCGGCATTCAGGCAAGCCAGCTCCAGACTCCTTTGCAAACACTTGTGATTGAGTACGTTGAGTTTACATGTAATTATCTTGTCACTCCCTTATACTGATAATGTTAGTTACATTATATAAAATTGCAAAGCTTTGTCTGTGCAATAATGCTTGTATTCTCAAATCGAATTGAACTCAATTCTGCAATCATAACAGTGCCATCACGATTAACTCATAGTATTTTATGGCAGGTTGCTGGTGGTTATGCTGAAGGTATTAGTGGAATGGATGGTGGCGATGTCCTGAGAGTGACAGTGTGATCACAAGTTGTGAAGGAGGTAGTGACAGTAGTCGTGGTGAGAATGGAGGCAGTGGCATGGAGATAATGGCAGTGGACACAATAGTGGCACTGGTGATGGAAGCAGTAATGTCCGTGAGGTTGACGAGCTGGGAGCCCTGTTGTCTGGCAGACGTGTTGGCAACCTCACTTTCTCTTCTGTTTTCTTGTCCTAGTGTCCACAGCAACGTCCTGCAATGACCCAGGGGTCCCGCAGAATGGGAGCCGGAGTGGCAACAGTTGGGAAGCGGGCGACTCCACGGTGTTCCAGTGTGACCCTGGCTATGCACTGCAGGGAAGCGCAGAGATCAGCTGTGTGAAGATTGAGAACAGGTTCTTCTGGCAGCCCAGCCCACCAACGTGCATCGGTACAGAGCCGCTACAGAATAAATTCTTTCCTCTGGTTCCATCAGTCATGTACTCCAGACCCCTCCACCTAAGTGGTAGCTACATCTTAAGTCTGGGCCAGGAGAATCTGAATAGCTGAAAGCTGCAGAGGACCCAAAGCTTATCCTTCTTTGCACGCATGCACACACACATTCACACACTCACATTCCCACTCTACGCACTACACTACATACACACACTACAAAATAATCCTGAAGATTTCTAAATCAGGTGTGTCTATCCTTTTTCTCCCTGGTCCGGGCTGTATAGGTTAGAAGGAGGACAATGGGTCACCTCAGGTAGTAAGGGTCAACCCCACCCAGTTGACATCGAGTTGATTCCAACTCATGGTGACCCCATGTGTGTCAGAGTAGAACTGTACTCCAGAGGCTTTTCAATGGCTGATTTTTTGAAAGTAGATTGCCAGGGCTTTCTTCCAAAGTGCCTTTGGGGGGACTCAAATCTCCAGCCTTTTGTTTAGCAGCTGAGCACGGTAATCGTTTGTACCACACAGGGACTCCAGTAAGGGTCAGCAGATGCTGAAATGACTTTCCTGTTACCTGAAGCCCTAGAAGGCACTTGCAGGCTTAGGATGTAAAGGAAAGAAATTTGCTGTTCTTTTCTCAGGGAAATTATTGGTAACCTGGGTTTTGGTTCTCTAGATCTGCCCTTAGTCTTAAAATCTTCCCATTTAACAGTTGAAGAAATAGAGGCTCAGAGACTTGTCCAAAGTAATATAGCTTATAAGGACTGGGGCCTCAATAATCCTGCACCCCAGATACTTGAGACTGGGAGGAGGAGGGAACTTGAAGGCAGGAGGGGGCAGAAAAGAAAGAGAAATAGAAACAAACATTCCAGGTGCACGCTTCTAAGAAGCTCTTTTTCTCAGGTAAGATAATGAATGCATTTATCTCCTATTTCAACATTGGGTATTAAAAGAGGAGAGAAGAGAGCCAACAGTCATTGAGTCCTTACTATGGTCCAGCCCCACCCTGGATGTTTACTTACATAATCTCGTTTAACTTTTCCTACGGCTCTCTGAAATTAACCTCATTCCTTCATTTTACAGTTGAGGAAACTGAAGCTTAGAGAAATGTGAATATCTTCCCCAAATCACAGAGCTAGGATATGGCAGAGCCAAGATTCACACACACACCAGTCTGAATGCAAAGTCTTTCATTAGCCTGTCTCCCATGCCACCTCCCATGCTGGAGATAGGTTCAAGGGACATCCGGAGACATTCCCTGCAGAGTCCGCCATGGCCGTGCCCTATACCTCTTCCCGCACAGGCTCGTGGGGGCCTGTCCAGCATCAGAGGACTGGCCTTTGCCAGACACGGCTGTGAGGCCTGGCATTGACAGTGAGACACTAAATCCTGCTCCTCAGTGGTGGTTAGGAGACACATGATGTGTGAGACAGAGAGTGAGGGGAATGGACAGTGGACAGTAGAGACCTGGGTTCTAGAACCAGCCTAGTCCTTAACTAACGAGTTGCCATCAAGTCAGTTCTGACTCATGGTTACCCCCATATGTTTCAGGTAGAACTGTGCTCCATAGGGTTTTCAATGGCTGATTTTTCAGAAGTAGATCACCAGGCCTTTCTTCTGAGGCACCTCTTGGTCAATTCAAATCTTGTGGGTTAGTAACTGAGCGCTGAACTGTTTGCACCACTCAGGGACTCCTGGTCCTTAACTTTGTGTTGTGATATGTAGAAAAGACAATGGGATATTGAATTCGGTGGATAAACAGTTAACCCACTCAGCTGCTAACCCAAAGGTGGGCAGCTCAAGCCCACCCAGAGGCACCTCAGAAGAAAGGCCTGGCAATCTACTTCTGAAAAACCATACAGTAAAAACCCTAACTCATCGGCAACTTTTTTAGGTATTTAGTGGGGGAGTGTGTTGGTTCCCAGGTGGGAAAGGAGGGTTTCACCGTGTGAAGTTGGTGTGAGTAGTAACTGGGCAGCAAGCAGGGCAGAGAGGTTAATTCGGCTTTTGTTATCCGTTCTTCTACGCTCAGTTTTGGGAAATGTTCCTCAGGCAACAAAATAACTATCTTTGCCTCTTTTCTCAAATGGACTGGAAATCCCTCTGACGTGCCCCTTATTTCCATCTCTCTTGGCAGTCTGCCATGACTAGGTCTAGCTGGCCTTAAGCCCTTCATTATACAGAGGAAGAAAACAAATATTTATTGAGCGTCATGTCCATGGTAGGCACTGGGCTAGACATTTGTGGTTGTTAGCTGCCATCGAGTCAGCCCCCAACTCATGGCAACCACACGTACAATGGAATAAAACACTGCCGGGTCCTGCACCATCCCCATGACTAGTAGCAGATCAGACTATTGTGATCTGTAGGGTTTTCATCGGCTGATTTTCAGAAGTAGATCACCAGGCCTTTCTTCCTAGTCTGTCTTAGTCTGGAAGCTCCACTGAAACCTGTTCAGCATCACAGCAACACACAAGCCTCCACTGACGGACTGGTGGTGGCTGAGCATGAGATGCATTGGTCAGGAATGGAACCTGAGTCTGCATGGAAGGCAAGAATTCTACCATCGAACCACCATTGCCTCTCGTTATTTCCATTTAAATCACCACGTGGTGAGTTAAGAGCTCAGGTTCTAGAATCCAGCTACCTGTGTTCGAGTCTGGCTTTACCACAACAAGCTATGTGGCCTTAAATCACTTCACCTCCCCGTGCCTCAATTTCCTCACCTGCGAAATAGGAGAAATGATAGCATTCCCCTCAGAGGGTCGTTTTTAAGATTAAATAATGCTAGAAAGCACTTAGAACCATGCCTCGTTCGTAGTAAACTCTGTATATGTTAAAGCCATTATCATCATTATTCTTTTTTATCTTATAGATGAGGAAATGGAGGCTCAGAGAGGTGAGATAGCTTGCCCAAACTCACACAGCTAGTAAGTGGCATTGTCAGAATTCGAACCCAGGACTGTGTGACTTCAAAATCAATGCCTTTTTCACAACTTTCACCTCTCAGGGCAGCCTGCCTATTTCTTGGCCATCTGGCATGATCAGCAGCTTGCACCCACTCCCATGTGGACACCCAAGGTTTAGCAAGCTCTAAGTCTGGGCCTGAAGGACACAGCCCTTTTTCTCTAGTTGGTGGTGGGGAGTGGACAGGTCATGACAGTGCCCTGAACTGGGAGTGAGACCTGGCTTCTAGTTCCAGCTTGGCTCCCTAGCTGCAACCCCAGCCAAGGGCCCACTAACATTGCCAAGGCCTCATTTGGTCTCCTACAGCTCAGCTGTCCTGCTGGCTAGTGCCTGGGCCTACAAGAGGGAAGGGGGGCTTTCTTCCCCTTCAGACCCCTCAATCAGCCCTAAGCAGCAGGAGCCCTCCTGTTGATGAAGAGCCTCAGGAGCCCAGCCAGGACCTGAGACACAACTGGCAGAGGGCAATGAGGCCCAAGCCTGGGTCCTGAGTAGGAAGGCCAGCAGGGGCTGAATGTAGGCCCAGCAGGCTGATGCCAGGGAGCCATCTGGGAAGGAGCTGTTCCAGGGCAGATGCCTAGAACCCAACCTTACTGAGAGCAACAGGAGCAGTTTCAGAAACACCCAGACTCGCCCTGTCTGCAGCAAAGGGAGGTCCAGCCAGGTAACCTTTGCCCCAAGTGGAGGCATCATGTGCCCCCTTGGAAAGGTCCACCAGGGAGTTGAGACTTCTAACAAGATACAGACATTTTACTCTCCTTGGCTACATCAGACTCTCTCTAGGCTCTAGGGTAGGGCCACTCTCTATGGCTGGAAACGGCAGTCTTCCTTTATTCAGTTCAGGTTTTGTACTGATCATACAGGTCTCCGGTCTGTCCCACTGATCCAACCCTCTGCTCTAAAGAGGTGAGATAGAAGTGGACCTGGCTCAAGGAACCTTCTTCACTCCTGTAGACGCTCTTACAGCTGGGGCTTCTCCCCTGCCGGCGTGCGTGGAGGAACACTCTTTCTTGTCTACTCCTGCTGCCACCAATGATTACGAGCCCCTCTAGAGGAATGGGAAAATCATGGGCTTTGAGTCTCAGAGTGACAACACTCTGAGCCTCAGTTTCTTCCTTTATAATAATCCATGGCTTTGGGTTGTTGTGAGACATAAATGAGATAATGTACCTAAAATGCTTTTTGCCATGTCTAACATATAATAGGCACTCACTTGGGTATTTCTTGAACTCAAGATGATACTTAGTCACTGCTATTCATGACCATGCACCCAGGTTCCGTTCCTCCATGTTAGGGCTTTTGTGGCCTGAGCTGAAGCCCTGCCATTTTTTAAAGAGACCCTGTTGGAGCTGTTCTAGCCCTTTAAGCCACACCTTGAGTAAAAGCCACAGAGTGAGGCAGTAGAACTCAGCTGTACAACAGGCAAGCTGGTTGCTCTCACCTCAGTGCTTGCAGATGCTCTTTGGCTCCCACCTCAGTGTCATTTTGGATTTGCTGGCCTCCTCTTCCTTGAGTGGCTGGCTCTCGGAGCTCCTTGTGGGTACACCATTTGCCGACTCCACTGCCAACCTCTGATGGTGCCCTGTGGTTTATCCCTGTTTATATCTCAGCCACCTTTTCCTGTTAATGACCCCCTGCACTTCCAAGCTTCTACTGTGTCAAACCTCTTAGGCTGTAGAGCGACAGCCCCAGCCGTTTAGGGGGAGAACCTGATTCAGGATCTGGAGAAGTTGACCAAGAGGTATCTGGGTGGGCAGCCTGCTGTGTCATCCAGCCATGCCCCGCTGCTTGGAGGGCCTGTCATCTCAGGAGGGAGACTACCATGGACTAATTGGGAATTTGTGATCACTCCATACAACTGAGGTACAGACTAACTCTTGGACAAGGCCCTTTGGAAAGCTCAAAGGTGTCTGCAGCCCTAGACAGATGCCAGGAGCATTGGCAGTATAGACAGCCAGCAGCACTTGGCAAGTGAAAATGATCATGTTTTCCTCTTCCTGGCATCAAGTGCACTGGAACTCATGGTAAATATCTACAAGGCTCTTCTGGAAACTGGATATAAAGGCAGTGGAGGGAGGACCCTGTACTTGATATGTCTAAAATACAGCTGATGGTTACCATGAATTGACTATTTATGCCAAATGCTTTAACAAATGTCTCCTATAGTCTTTACAACCACCCTGTGAAGCAGGTGCTATTATCTTTTTCTAAAATAGAGGCAGGACACTGAGGTCCAGAGAGGTTAAGTAAATTCCCTAAGGTCACACAGCCAGGAAGTGGCAGAGCCAGGTTTTAACTTAGGTCTCTCAGACTTAATCCCTCCTCTACTTTGTCTTATCAATACCCATTAAAATTTAACCAGGGTAAAGGGGACTATCTTACCTTTGTCTTCCTCTCTCCTCAGCTCCTTGTGGGGGAGACCTGACAGGACCATCTGGAGTCATTCTGTCGCCAAATTACCCAGAACCCTACCCGCCAGGCAAGGAGTGTGACTGGAAAGTGACCGTCTCGCCAGACTACGTCATCGCCCTGGTATTTAACATGTATGTACCTTTCCCCCGGGTGGGAGACAAAGGGTTCAGACCAGCTAGGGGTTTCAAGACCTGGGTCGCCAGGTAAGTGTGCACATGCCTTCTGTGACAGAGTTCCCAGTTCATTGGCAGGTGAAGAAATTGAAAAAAAAGAGAAAGTAACATTTGTTGAGCCTTTTCTATGTGTCAAGCACTGTGCTTGGTGGTTTCATATATATTATCCTATTCAATCCTTGATAATAATTTATGAAGTGTCTATTATTATTTCTTTTTTACCTCTGAAGATATTGAGATTCGGAAAGCAGGACCTTGCTGGCTCCTTCTTCCTCTCCCTCCTGGGTGTTCCTTCACTGCTCTTCTGGCTTCTTCCATCACACTCCCCAGCGTAGAATCAGGCCTCAGGTTTCTCTCTATACTCCTCCTTCTAGCTACTCCCCTATCTCTCTTAGTCCTTTCCTAGGCAAGCTCTTTATAAGAATTGTCTCTGCTTTTCTCTGCTTTTTCTCACCTCCAGTTTACTCTCAAACCACTGGAATCCGGTTTCTGCCTCCACCGTTCCATAGGAAACTCCTCCGTTAAACGTTAACAACGAACTCCTAATTGCCACACAAGATGGAGCTTTTCCACGTTTTATCCTAGTCCGCCTCTTGATCACGCCCTCTGCTCTCACACTAGTTTTTCCCTTGGGTTTTGTGAAGTTATTCTCCCCTGCTTCTCCACCTTTTGTGACTTCATGTCTGCCTTTTCTTGCCTCTCTTCCTTGGCCAGAGTCAATCACTGGCATCTTCTCTTTTCTCCTACACTTCTTTCCTGGACAAACTCATCCACTCCTATGGTTTCAGCTTCCTCTTAAAAGCAAGGATTCCACTCTGCCTCCCACCCAGACTTTCTTCTGAGCTGCAGATCCCCATATCCAGCTATTGGACATCTCTTCCTGCTGCCTACAGGAACCTCAAATGCAATATGTGCAAAATTAAGCATGTTACTTCTCCCCCAAGACAAGCTGTCTTCTGAACACTGGAGAGTGGCACCGTCTTCCACTCTTATGCTTCATCCAGCTAGTGACCAAGGAGTGGAGCTTCTACTGCCTTGGCGTTCCCCATATGTTCCCTTCTCATTCTCCCAGCTACTGTTTTGGTCCAAGTCCTTATCATTTCCCATCTAAGTTACTGTCATAGCCTCCTAACTGGTTTCTTTGTCCAACTTGCCTTCTATGACAATCTGTCCTTTAGCTAGCTGGCAGCTTGATCTTATCATCTAAAATAACCTCAGATGCTAAAATAACCACTTTGTTTTCCATTTTAACATCCTGTAATGATCCTACTTAGTAATAAAAAGGAATGAACTACAGATACATGTAACAACATGGATGAATCTCAGAAATATTATGCTGAATAAAAGAAGACAAACAAAAAAGTGCATGATGTATGATTCTACTTATATGAAATTTTAGAATCAGCTAATCTAACATATGATGATGGATATCAGACCAGTGGTAGCTTCTAGCGATAACGAAGAATGACTGGAAAGGGACGGGTGGGAACTTTCTGGGGTGGTGGACAACTTCTGGGTCTTGATATGCAGATGTCAAAACTGATCGAGTAGTAGATTTAAGAGCTTAGATCATTTCATGGTGTGTAAGTTATACCTTGATTTTAAAACCAACAAATCCTTTATTTAAAAAAAAAATACCTAAATGAGTCCCTCTTGCCTATTAATTAAGGTCCAGACTTCTGAGCTTCATTCCAAATAATCACCCCTTCCTACCTCTCCAGTCAGTCATGTCTCTCCCTGTGTTCCCACAAACCCACCCCATCCTAAACCCTTAGCTCCAGGCGGTCTGAACTACTGGCAGTTTCTGTGGTCTTGCAGACTATTTCATGCCTTTGTGACTTTACCCAGGCTTCTCCCTGCCCAGCGACCTGCATTTCCTTCCTGTCCAACCAGTGAGCATCTTCTCATCTTCCCAGCTTGACTTCCTCTGTGAAAGCTTTATTTTCATCCTCCCCTAAGAAACTTAGTTTTGTGTCCCCACTATGCCTTGTACAGACTTTCTACTTTATTTTGTTGTTTACTTCACCTCCTACAGCACCATCAACTTCTTGAAGGCAGGGCTGGTGTTTGATGCATTCCCTTGTCCTTGACACCTTGCTCAGTGCTTGGCATATTGAAGGTGCTCAGATAAAACTTGATGACTGAGGGAAGGAAAGGACAGATGGAAGGCAGGTCGTTAGGAAGTGATGGAGGCATCATTCATGACAAAGTTTGACTCACCCTTCCTTGGTGACTTTGAGCAGATGGATAGAAGCTGGGTTATGAGAAAAGAAGACCCTATCACCCAACAAGAGTGGGAGTGACCTCACAGCTGAGCCAGTGTGAGAGGGTGCCTTCTTGTAGGAAGGAAGCCAATGCATATCTGGCTCTGGCCTCCATGCCCTCAAAACCCCATCCTCTCTCTCTGCCAGCCCTACCCGCTTTGTCCTAGAGATGTTGTGTCATATCTCTCTGCCATATGTCTTAGCTCAAGGGTAGAGCATCCATTTCCTTCTCAGTCCAACCAGATAGAATATCTGAGTATCCCAGCCCACAGATAGGCTATGAACGGGTCTGGATCCAAAATCTAGTCTTTGCAAGCTGATTTACTTTTATTCTCTTGTTTTCATTTTTGCACACTTGATTGGTATCAATTGCGTTTGTTGAATCTATACCTAAGAGTAGAATTGCTGCATCGTAGGGCAGGCATGTGTTCAGATTTAGTAGATATTGCCAAACAGTTTTCCAAAGTGGTTAAACCAATTTACACTCCCACTAACAGGGAATGAGTGTTCAGTGGCTCTAATAGTTGGTATTTCCCATCATTTTCATTCTAGCCATTTCAGTGAGATAAATTACCTTTAAAATCTCTAATGTCAATTTGATAAATCAAGACAGTTTTTTTTTTTTAATGGATTTTTCTCCCACAGCAGGGTCAGATAGCTAGGAGAGAGACCAACTATGGGCATCAGGAGTGGGGTGGTAGCAGATCCTGAGGAGAGCTGGAAAACTGGCTCGGGGAAGAGGAATAAAGCAAGGGTCCTTCATGGTAAAAGACCCCTCCCTGCCTAGAAACAGCTTCAGAGATGGCTCTTTCCTTCTTGGAAAAGGAGGTGCAGTATATCTCAGTATGAAGAACATTATAATTGGTTAAGAGACCTGGGTTCTGGACCTACTTTGGCTGACCATGCAGTGTCTAGAGTTGGCAACTCATTTTCCCTTCCATAAAAGGAGGGTGTGAGGCTTTCAGCTCCAGCTTTCTGGACACTGACTCTGGAATCTGCCTCCCCTGCCCCTGAGCCTTCCTCATCCATCTTCTCGCCTGATGGGAGGTCATCGGGGCTTCATTCTCTCTCCCCACCAGCAAGTCTTCGAGTGGTTGGGCACCTGTGGGGTGGAGAGCTTGCTCTCTGGGAGACCTCATCCTTTGGCTGAGCCTAAGGCCCCAATATCAACCTTTATTTAACCTTAATGGGGTGGGATGGGATGTGTTTGTTCCCCAGCTTTAACTTGGAGCCTGGCTATGACTTCCTCCATGTCTACGATGGACGAGACTCTCTCAGCCCTCTCATAGGAAGCTTCTACGGCTCCCAGCTCCCAGGGCGCATTGAGAGCAGCAGCAACAGCCTCTTCCTCGCCTTCCGCAGCGACGCGTCTGTGAGCAATGCTGGCTTCGTCATTGACTACACAGGTAAGGGCTGGTGTCAGAGATGACTGAGGGCAGGGTCAGCCAGACCTGGCAGAGGGGAGTGGAAGGCAGCGTAGTGCATAGAGGAGAGCATTGGGCTGGACTACAGGGAGGCTGCTCCTAGTCCTGATGCTGCTGCCACGTGCAGAGGACCTGCCTGCCCTGTGGCCCTCCAGGTGGCTTCATCTGTCACCCTCCTATGTCCCAGTGCTGGGAGTTAAGGGGGCCAGCGTGAGTTAAGGAGGCCAATGTTCTTTTTGAGTCCCATTTCTATTTCCAAATCATTACTCCTCTTCCTTTCCTTTGAGGCTCATTCTTTCTAGCTCTACTTCACTTTCATAACCCTACTCCATGTTGTTGTTTGTTAGGTGCTGTCAAGTCAATTTTGACTCATAGTGACCCCATGTGACACAGTAGAACTGCCCCATAGAGTTTTCTAGACTGTAATCTTTACAGGAGCAGATCGCCAGGTCTTTCTCCTGTGGAGCTGCTGGGTGGGTTTGAACTGCCAACCTTTCAGTTAGCAGCTGAGAGCTTAACTGTTGCACCACCAGGGCTCCTTCCCCACTCCATCCCTATCAACTAATATCTCCCTGTTCACTCCCCTACATTCACTGAGGATTCTGATATGAGGCTTCATCTTCCTTTCTACCCCAAAGCCCCCCACAATCCAGGGTAACTTCAGTGTCCCTGTGGACAGTTTGTCCAACTCCTAGGCTCACAGTGCCTGGACCTCTGTCCCAAGGACTCTCCTTGGCCATATTCTGGAACCCTTCCCAAAAACTGAATACTTTCTGATACTTCCTGATCACGTTTTCCTGTCCTTCCATTCACTTGGAGTCCTGGTAGTACAGTGGTTAAGAGCTAGGCTGCTAACCAAAAGGGGGGTAGTTCAAACCCCAGCCACTCCTTCAAAACCCTACGGGGCAGTTTTACTCTGTCCTGTAGGGTCGCTATGAGTTGGAATCGACCCGACAGCAATAGGTTTGGGTTTTTTTGGTTTCCGTTCACTTACTCCCATCACACTTTTGAATTAATTAAAGCAGATTGAATAGTGTAGGGGTAAAGAGCAGAGGTTGACAATTTTTTTCTTTTAAAGGGCCATAAATATTTTAGGCATAGTGGGCCAGACAGTCGCTGTCATAATTACTCATCTCTGCTGTTGTTGTGTGGGAGCAATCATAGACAATTTGTAAATAAATGGGCTTGCTGTGTTCCAGCAAAACTTTGTGAAAATGAGCCTCCATCTCATAGAAATGGTCGTTCCGACTTGCTTAAAGCTCACGTTCACCAAGTAGCAGTTGTGACCTTGGGAAAGCTGTTTAACCTCTCAAGACCTCTGTTTCTTCATCCATAAAGTGATAGAATAATTCCTATCTCATATAAGCAGGCAAAGATCAATGAGTCCCTGCATTAAAGCTCTTGGTACAATGCCTGGCACATGTCAAGCATTCTGTAATGTTCCAGTATGATTATTATTATTATTATTATTAATTCCAGGCTCTAGAGCATGCCACTTTCTTCTACTCTGTTAGTCCCTTTTTGACCTATTCTTCTTCCCTAATTATCTCAGATCCTATTATCCAAATCCTAGCTCCATTTCTTGCTTGATTTGTGAGCTTGGCAAGTTATTATCTCTTGGAACCCATTTCTCCATCTATAAAATGATGGTAATCATAATTATGTTGCAGAAAGTTGTTTAAGATTCAGATATTTTATGCCTACACACTGTATATATTAGTATAATTCCTGGTATGTACTAAACACTCCATAGATACTCTGAGATGTTTTGTTATTTATTATTGAGACCATAACCCAGGTTCACCCAGGCCTCATCAGCCTATGTGTACAAATGAGGTCACATTACCGGTTAAAATTAAAAATTCTCTGGCTCAAGTCCTCCACTTGCATAATGTAGGACCTCAGCAACCTTTTAAAATATCCTTTAATTAAATATTTCTGGCAACCCCTGGGGATATCTCACATGAGATCACAAATAATATGATCATAAAAGAGCTAGTGCTTATTTAATGTCTACCACATGCCAGCACTGTTCCAAGTACTTTCTATCCATCAACTCACTGAAATCCTCATAACTATCAATTGCCTGCTATTTGTCGGGTACTTGGTAATTGGTGCACAACACAGAGAATACTTGCTTATGGAGCTGGTCTGGGGAGTGGATATTTTACCATCCACTCTTCCTCCAGGCGCCTACCATTCTGTAATTCTCTTGTATCCAAACCTTCCTCTGCATGCCAGTATCCAAACAAACACGGCCAGATGTTTTGGAATTCTAACAGAAGATGCAACTTAGATTCAGCCTGGGACTCCCATCACTCCAGCCATCCCCGTCCTCACTACCATACCAATCATCTCGTTTTTATTATTATTTATCCCTTTAATCACACTCTCATCAGTGCCTTCAATTTTCCTGCCCCCTTGTCCTTTGATGGAGCCCGGTGGTGCGGTGGTTAAGAGATTAGGCTGCTAACCAAAAGGTCAGCAGTTCGAATCCACCAGCTGCTCCTTGGAAACCCTATAGGGCAGTTCTGCTCTGTCCTGTAGGGTTGCTATGAGTCGGAATCGGCTCGATGGCAACAGGTTTTTGTCCTTTGTTAAACCCACACCCAGGTGGCTGAGTGTTGCCAGAAAAAGTCACACAACCATGAACTGGGAGCCACTATATTTACGTCCTAACCTCAGCCAAGCCTTAGCAACCCCTGACTTGTCCAACTGGGTCTTCTTCTAGGCAGTAATTCTAAAATTTCAACCGAAATGTCACCACTTTTAGCTTCATTCTTACAATATGACTTCATTTCATCTTCCCTGGATACAGTAAGCTACTGGGTAGAAACTCCAACAGCTTCTTCCCCAATTACCTTGTTCATGGCAACCTTGCTGTTGCCAGCTTCACCCAGGTTCTCTCCACTGAAGTTCATGGGCTGAGAACCATATCACAGGTTCTCTTTCCCAAGGAAGCCCTTTCCACTTTCAGCTGTTGGCCCAAGACATTATCTAGAGTAATCCTCAGATCTAAAACACAGCCTCAGGGAATAAGGCCTTCCCAGCTGCCATTTGAGCCAGCCAAGCTGGCTGAAGGGATGTCAGTTCCTGGGGGATAGGAGAGGTGAGGCATAGCCTACAAATGTACCTACCACCCTCTTATTAGGATCTGTGGTGCAAGTACCACAATAATGGGTCCCTCTTCCCAGACTGCACACCTCCTAATATTAGTTACCCCGAAAATCTGTTTCCATAAAGATTTACAGCCTTGGAAACCCTATGGGACAGTTCTACTCTGTCCTATTGGGTCACTATAAGTCAGAATTGACTCAACAGGAACAAGTTTTTTTTTTTAATATCTTCCCCAAAACTGTCCCTAGGTGACGCAAGTAGTTTGCACTCAAATGTCCCTAGGTGACGCAAACAGTTTGCACTCAACTGCTAACCTAAAGGTTGACAATTCAAACCCACCCATTGGTACCACAAAAGAAAACATCTGGCGATCTGCTTCCCTTAAGATTATAGCCAAGAAGACCCTATGGAGCAGTTCTACTTTGTAACACATGGAGTCGCCATGAGTCGGAATCAGCTCGACAGCAACTAACCACAGCAAGTATCACCCTAGGTTCCTGGGTGGTGCAAGCAGTTTGCACTTGACTACTAACGGAAAGGTTGGCGGTTCAAACCCACGCAGCAGTGCCATGGAGGAAAGATCTGGCGATCTACTTCTGTAAAGGAAATGGAAGCCATGTGCTAGCAAGATGGAGCAGCCAAGAGCAAACCGCTTGCACTGCAAGGGACTCCTCGTAAAGAGCTAGATAATAAATATTTTAGGCTTGGCAGGCCAGACAGTCTCTTGAACAATTGCTCAGTTCTACTGTTGTAGCATTGTTTTATTTACAGAAACAGTCATCGGGCCAGATTTGATATGCGGGCTGTAGTTTTCTGATTCCTATTGTATATGAACAAGATCACACCACATATACTTATCTGTAACCTGGTTTGGTTTTTTTTTTTTTTTTCCCCAAACAATAGATCTTGGGCATCTTTTCGAATCAGTATGCAAAGACTTCTGCCATCCTCTTTAAAGACTGCTTTTATTTCAGTGGATGGCTCCAATCCAACCTTTATAACTACTTCCTTACTGATTGGACGTCTGGGTTATTGTTTCCAGTTTTCTGTTATTGCAAACAGTGTTTGGAAATGGGCCTCATCCACTAGGACTAGAGAGAAGCCAGTTCTTTTATGTTTCTCATTTTGGAGGGCTTGGGTTTTATTTATTATTATCATCATGATGTTTTAGCCATTTAGTTTTATCATTCACACCTGATCTCTGGTTTGACAGACTAAAAACCTGATTGTGTCTGAATTTTATCTCTCAATCGTTGAATGGCTTGGAAAGCTCATTTAGCCTGTCAGATCACCACATTCCTCATCTGCAACCTGAACATGAGCATACCTGGCCCTGCCTGGGCAGAGGCTACTGTGAGACACAGATGAGATAACAGATTGGAAAGTGATTTGAAAATTATGAAGTGATATTCTCATGTAAGGGGTTATCATCATTATCATTATCCTTGTCATTATTATTAATGTTATCATGCTTGGAATGATGAGCTCTTCCTCTGACACGGGAGTAAATATAGAATGGAGTCTGTAGTTGGAGTCGTTGATGTAGCTGTTGATTTTCCAAGCCTGAGGGTGTTCAGCCGATTAATACAGCAGCTGTTTATTAAGCGTCTGTTATGTGCCAAGTAGGGCTGGTGGATAGGAGAGGTGAGGCATAGCCTACAAATGTACCTACCACCCTCTTATTAGGATCTGTGGTGCAAGTACCACAATAATGGGTCCCTCTTCCCAGACTGCACACCTCCTAATATTAGTTACCCCGACAGTCTGTTTCCATAAAGATTTACAGCCTTGGAAACCCTATGGGACAGTTTTGCTGTGTCCTATTGGGTCACTATAAGTCAGAATTGACTCAACAGCAATAAGTTGTTTTTTTTTTAATATCTTCCCCAAAAATGTCCCTAGGTGACGCAAGTAGTTTGCACTCAAATGTCCCTAGGTGACGCAAATTTTGTAATAGATGCTGAAGTTATAAGAAGAATAGGTGATGGTCCCTGTTCTCTGAGAGTTCAGAACCCAACTGGAAAGACATACACTTACCCTACTGTTAGGGGTTGATTTGTATTTCCCAGAAGTACTAACCCCTATACCTATGGATGTAATTCCATTTGGGAATAGCATTTTCTTTGTTATGTTGATGAGGCCAATACCAATATAGGGCATTTAAGCCAATCACTTTTGAGAAATAAAAAGAGCAGATTAAGCGCAGATGCAAGCAAGCACATATGGGGAAGAGATAGATGCCACATGGAGATCTCCTGGGAATACCCAAAAGAACACTGGAGAAGCTGAGACAAGGATTTCCTCCCAGAGCAGACAAAGACTCCCCCTAGAGCTGGCACCCTGAATTCAGACTTCTAGCCTCCTAAACTGTGTGAAAATAAATTTCTGTTTGTTAAAGCCACCTACTTGTGGTGTATTTGTTATAGCATCACTAGATAACTAAGGTACCAGCCTACCAAGACAATGTGATACATGCTATAATCAAGGGGGAAAAAAAAAAAGCACTGAACTCTGCTAGAGAGAAGGCAAAGTTCAGGAATGCTGCTCAGAGCATTTAAAAGTGTAGGAGTTTGGTAGACAGAGAAAAGAAGAAAGAACGTTCTGACATAGTGAAGTATTCTGGGGTAGTCATACCCAGCTGAAGTCCAATGCCAGTGCAATGATTACCCCAAGGCACAGTTGCTTAAACAAGATACAAGTTTATTCTCCTTCCTATAAAAGAAGTCCAGAGGTTGGCATCCAGGGCTAATGAGGCAGCTCCACTGAGGTTCCTTTTGTCTTTCTGCTCGACCTTGCTAGTACATGGCTTCCATTCTCAAGGTTGCCTCAGGATCCAAGATGGTGACCAGAGTTCCAGCCATCATGTCTGAGTTCCAGACTGTGGGCAGGAGGTAGAAAAAAAAGAAGGGCCAACAAGCGTTCTCTCAGCTAAGTTACCTTTCCTTAAGCAGCCTTTCTAAAAGTCTCCCATGAAAGAAATATTTATTGAGTGCCTACGATGCCAGGCCATCGGAATACAGCAGTGAACAAAACTGAAAAATTCCCTCATGGAACTTACATTCTAGTGGGGGAAAAAAAACAATTGCCGTTGAGTGGATTCTGACTCAAGGCAACCCCATAGGTTTCAGAGCAGAACTGCCCTCCGTAGATTTCGGTCGCTGCAACCTTTCAGAAGTAGATAGATAGCCAGGCTTTTCTTCCGAGGTGTCTCTGGGAGGATTTGAACCACCTACCTTTCAGTTAGTAGCTGAGCACTTAACTGTTTGCACCACCCAGAGACATTCTAGTGGAGGAAAATAGAAAAAACAAAAAGGTAAATTATAGTTCATGAGATAGCATTAATACCAGTGGAGAAAAATAAACTAAAGCAGAGAAGGGTGGTGGGGGGAGTGCAAGGGAGAGGAATATTGTAATTTTAAATAGCTGATCGGGAAGGTATCACTGACAGAAATGAGAGAGGGAGTTGTGCAGCTGGGGGCACATTCTATGGACAGACACCAATGTGGCTGGAGCAGAGAGAGCAAACAGACAACAGGAGGTGAGGTCATAGAGGTGAGGGTTTAGGGCAGAACGTGCTGGGCCTTGTACACCTGTAACGATTTTGGCTGTTACTCTAAGTGAGATGGGAGGCTATTAGAGCATTTTGAGGAGATCTGTTCTGACTTACATTTACTTCTCTTTGGCCAGACCTAGCTGCGTGAGAGGCTGGGGCAAATAAAATTGAACTGGTCCCTTGATACTCTGGATGAAATCAGGGTTCCACTATTTAAAGATGAAGCGGGGAATAGGTGTTGGTGCCATAGCTAATTCTGCCTCTTACGAGCTATGTGAAATTGGTTCCAAGTTACTTAATTTCTCTGAACTTCAAATAAGATTTGACCCACTTTGAATTTTTAAAAAAGACAGATGAGATGTAAAACATGGTAACAGTGCCCAGTATCTCTGTGAGTCATGTATGGAAAACTGAGTGGCCGGTTGTGTTCTGGCCCCAGCCACTAGGCTTAGGTAGAGGAGCGATCTGACATGGGGTCAAGGTGGCACATCACAGGGCTCACAAGCCGCCACTGAGAGGCTCTCTACTAGGTGAGTGAGCATTCTCTTGGACCTCACTTGAGTTTAAATGCAGTAGTATATCCAGAACTGCTCCACTCTTAACTATGGACAAAGACTTAAAGCAGGACAGGCCAGTCTCCTCGGGTGCAAGGGCTCAAATGTGGGAGCAGGTGGACTTGGCAGGAGCGTCCCATCCCATCAGTCAACAGAGGCTGACAAGCAGCTGAGCAACACCCTCAAGCAGTGGCCACCTCCTTTGTAGGTAGCTTAAAAAGTACCCAGGTGGTAAGGACAGCGCTCAGTGAAACTCCCCTGAACGTCTCATCTCTGAGCTCTGATCCCATCAATTCCAGCTCTTTCTACCTTAGCTCCACTCTGAGTTCTGAGTTCTTCAGCAAGGGCCGTTAGCAGCTCTTGTGAATTCCCATCTCTAGCCCTCTCTGCTGCTCTCCCACAGAATAGCCTCCAAAATGCTAATTGAAACCTGATACTCAGTTGCATTCCCTGGCACTGACTGGCCTTTGCTGTGTCCTAACACTGCACAGCCCTACTGACAGGCCACCTGACGGTCAGTGATCTTAGAACAAGGAGGACTGAGGAAGGGCGGCAGTGGATGGAAATGAATGTCGGCTCCCAAGAGCTGCTCAGGATTTTCATCCAGTGGTGAGGGAGGCTGTAGACTCTCCTTCAGAGATTCAGGGCTCCAACTAGTACCCCCAGTTGCTCAGGACAATGTCAAGTACAGTCTTATCTGGTGCAGAAGAATGGCGTGGATGCCTGCTAGGGGCTCAGGCTGCCACTTCTCTCACATCCACAGTATGCTTGATTGTGAAGACACATAAGGATCATTATTAGCCAAATAGTTTTAATAAACTGGCAAGAACTCAGTACTCCAGTGCAAAGCCCTGGAAAACTGTATTGGAGATCTTGACTTGTCCCAGAGGTGAAGTGGGGTACTTCTGCCCTGTCTGAGTATGGCACCCATGCACTCAGAAGTGCCTGCTAGCTGTGGAGATGACTGGGCCTGCAGAGCAGACACAGTCGACGTTCCCAGCCAGCTGCCTGGTTATAAGCAGAAGGGAAAGAGAAACAGCAGTCTCCAAGAGCAGCTTTCTGCCCTGCTTAGCACCTGGGTACAGAACGCCAAGGAAACCCACCATGCCCAAGTGTGGGAGGTCAAAGACAGGCAAAAGGGTTGATTGGGCACTCACCTTTACCATTTTCCCATTGCCTTCAAGTCAATTCCAGCTCATAGTAACCCTATAAGACAGAGTAGAACTGTCCCATAGGGTTTCCAAGGCTGTAATCTTTACGGGTGCAGACTGCCACGTCTTTCTCCTGCACAGCAGCTGGTAGGTTCCAACTACCAACCTTTTGGTTAGCACCTGAGCACTTGAGCACTTAACCATTGCACCACCAGGGATCCTTCAACCTTTCCCATAGTGACCCTGAAATGTGGTTCAGGGACCATCAGCTCCCACTTGTCAGAGCAGCGGGTGCCTCCCTTGGGGAAGAGCAAGTAAAGGATGAGAGAGGACCCAGTGTTTTAGCAAAAATTCCCTCCTCTGTGGGTCAAGGCAAGAATGAGGGGAGAGAAGGGGAAATTTCACTCTCCAAAATGACTTCCAGTCCTGGATTTCTAAACAAATTTAGACAAGTGTCTCAGAGGGTATAAGAGCAGCAGTCCAGAATCCCCATGTGCTCTGTGGCTAACAGGTCAGGGTCTCCTCCTGGGTGCTGCCTAGAAATGGGCCACTCCTGAGCCCTGTGTGTGTGCGTGTGTGTGTTCTCTTTTCCAGAAAACCCCCGGGAGTCGTGTTTCGACCCTGGTTCCATCAGGAATGGCACGCGAGTGGGTTCCGACCTGAAGCTGGGCTCCTCCATCACCTACTACTGCCATGGGGGTTATGAAGTGGAGGGCTCCTCTACCCTGAGCTGCGTCCTGGGGCCCGATGGGAAGCCTGTGTGGAACAACCCCCGGCCAGTCTGCACAGGTGGTGGAACCCAGAGATGGGAAGGGAGTCCGAGGAAACGGGCATGTCAGAGCAGAAGGGGCTGTTGGCTATGCAAAGGGGGAGCTGGGACATGGTCCTCAAAGGGTGGCTCCTTCAAGCAGGCCCAGTCAAGCCTGGGTTTGCTGTGGATAAGACTGGCTTATATTTCACTGGGTGCACCAGTCCCTGTCAATGGGTCATCTCTCTCAGATGATGAAATGTCCCCATTGTCACCCTCAGATCACATCGATGCTCATGTCCTGAACGCTGGCCCCCAGACATGCCAGCAGCTCACACCAGGGAGAAGGGAACTGCAGTTTAAAGTCGACCTTTAGGCTTGTTCCTGGGCCTAGGGAAAATTGCCAAGAGATCAGATGTGTAAAATGAAGGCCAGGGAGTGGGGCTGGCTCCAGGCAGGTCTGGGTTAGCCATGGGAGTCCTAAAAAGAGGATATGCTGGAATGTCAAGAGCATAGTGTCCACCTACACTGAAAAGCAAGGTAGCCTCATTGCCTAGGTGAGAGAGGCCTGCTCAGAGGTCTACCTCTTGTAGAAATCAGGGATCATGGCTGGGAGAGGAAAGTGGTTGTGTGCCATGGACTGGCCCCTTTCAGCAGAGTTAGTTTGGAGAGACTCAGGTCCCCTACTCATGCAGACACTAACTACCCAGGCACAGACATCAGCCACGGGCCAGCAGGTCATATCTCGGCCCCACTTGTAAGAAGAAGGGGTTCCTAATGTGCTCCCCAAGACTGTGCCTCCAGGGACCAATGCCAGTGTGAGTAGTTAGAGGACAAGGGCTGATAGGTGCCCAAAAGGGTCCTTGATAGCCTCAGAATGGTTTTAGGCCACATGCCAGACCAGGGATGGATGTCCTTGGGCAGAGTAGGGCAGTGTCCTCAGAACTCCCCTCCTCCACCTTAGTGACTGCCCACCTAAGGGCAGCCTCACCAGGGCCAGAAGCTCAGGCGGGAGTAGAAAGGAGGATGGACAGCTAATGAGAGGCCCATGAGGTCACCTGGCCCTCTATCTGGTTTCTCTTTCAGCCCCCTGTGGGGGACAGTATGTAGGTTCGGATGGAGTGGTCTTGTCCCCCAACTACCCCCAGAACTACACCAGTGGACAGATCTGCCTGTATTTTGTCACCGTACCCAAGGACTATGGTATGATCTTTTTCTGTTTGTTTATGTTTTATAACTCCCCTCCCTTACTCCAAAAGGGCAACTCCTCAGGCCCCTCCCAGTGATCCACTGCCATCCTGGGAATGGACAGAACAGTCTCCCAAGCTGGACATCAGAGTGTTGACTCTAGGAAATAAGCAGTAGAATGTGTGATGTCCTGGCACATGAGAGAAGGGCACAAGTGAGGCCACCTGTAACCAAGGCAGAGGAGTTGGTGAGGAACTAGCTAGAACAGAGGGCAGGCCAGGTGCAGCAGGGGAACTATCCAACACAGCCCAGGTCTGAATGGACGTGGTGCAGAGCCAGATCTACTGGGTCCCCAGGGGTCAGTGGCCAGGAAGCAGGAAGAAGGAAAGGAATGAGATGAGCCAGGGCTTGAAAGTGAAGGTGAGGGAACAGGGCCCCAGATTCAGAGCCACATCCTTGTAGGTATTCCACCTGAGAACTGACACCTGGTCTAGCAGCTGTGGGATAGGATGAGCAAGCAAAAAGGGAGGAGTAGGTCAGTATCCTGAGAAGACAGAGAAACCTCCAGATTCCGCGAGATCCAGACAGAAGAAGCCTTGTTGCCAATGGGAACGTTCAGAGTCCTACCAGTCCAGGAGGCATTTCAGAAGTTGCTGAGGGGCAACCAGGTGACCGGCTTTCTTTCCGCCTGGATCTCCGCTTTGTCAGACAAGTAACGACTGTTTCTAAACTCAGTTTGTGTTGGGTGGGGCAAAGGGCATCAAATATCCTGACCATCCAAGAGAGGGATGGGGCAGCCTGCAGAGAGCTGGCTGCTTATTCCAAGAGATAAGATAGGCAATCACAGGAAAAGATTCAGTGCTTTAGTCATGCACCAAGCATGTATTAAGCACCTATCGGGGGCCATGCACTTTGCCGGGTACCCGGGCTATGGAACTGACAGAGACATGTTCCCTGCCCTGTATAGACTCCCAGCCTCCTCTTCATCCACAGCTCTTGCCATCAGTGTGGCCACCCCTCCCCAGCACCCACACACCCATGTGCCTGTGCACACACTCCCCAACATACTTTCATGGCAGGATCATAGACTCTCTTAGAAAAGTCTTGAAAAGGTTGTCCAATCCAGTCTGCTACCCAGAGCAGAATCCTTAATAGGCGAGCATGCAGTTTGTGCTTGAATTCCTTCAGTAACAGGGAGCTCACCTCTTTGCAAGCAGCCAAGTCCAAGATCAGTTGGTCAGTTTCATTGAGCTAAACCTATTAGGGAGAGCTGGTTCTAGGAAGGTAGTGATGTCTCACAAGCATCTTCTCTTTACCGGTGATGCTGAGCCTGTAGGGGTGGAGAAGATTTTTCCTTCTGGGTCTGGAATATTCATCCCTAGCTCAGATCTCAGCTCTGATGTCATCTCAGAGATGCCTTCTGTGATCCCTATCTAAAGTGACCTGCCTCGTCCTATCATTCTATCCCATTACTCTGTTTTATTGTGCCCCTAAAACTCAGCACTGTCTGAAATTATCTTGTTTATCTATTTGCTCAAGTGTTTTTTGACTGCCTCTTCCCACTACAAGGAGTTCCTGGGTGGCACAAACCGTTAACTACTTGACTACCAGCCTAAAGGTTGGTGGTACAAACCCACCCAGAGGCACCTCGGAAGACAGGCCTGGCAATCTGCTTCTGAATGGTCACAGTCTTGAAAACCCTATGGAGCAGTTCTACTCTGCAACACATGGGGTGGCCATGAGTTGGAATCGACTGGACAGCAGCTAGCAACAGCTTCCCACTAGAATGTACACCCTGAAAGCAGGAACCTTGCCTGTCTGTTCGCTGTAGGGGAGAGTGTGGAGAGCCCCTTGCCACCATCCCTAACACAGTGCCCATTTGCAGGGTACCAAAATTCACTCTTCCTCCTGCTCCTCTCCCTCCTGCTCCCCTACCCGTTAGCTGAGAGCTAAGAATCTCTTACTCCATTGACTACTATACCCATCACTGCAATTTTTCTCAGGCAGCTAAGTCCATGGCCTGAGTCCCTCTCCACCCCTGCTCTGACACACACACACACACACACACACACACACCCTACTTCCTACATGCTCAAGGCTCTCAGCCATCGTAGAGAAGGGTCTACCCTGGTTCTTGCCCTCAGGTGCACCAGGCCCACTGGGATACCATTGCAGGCAGAATGAAATGGGGCCTGGCAGTGTCAGAAAAGGCTAACCCAGCCCCTCCAGCAGTGCCTGTCAGAGAGGGGAGGGATGGGGAAATCCCCTGGTATTCATAGCTGGTGGCCTGAGTGGCCATGAAATGCCAGGGCCCTTTGGCCTTGTCCAACAGAGACTGGATTAGGGCTTAAGGCCCTTTGGCCTTTCACCTTCACTTCCTCGAGCTAGCTGAGTGGCCTTGGGGAACTCTTGTAATCTCTCTGAACCTTAGTTTCTTTGTCTATAAAATATGGGTATTATCTGGAAGACTCATGATCAAAGATGATGCTGTACATAACAAGTGGGGTACTTGCACACAGTAGGTGCTTAATAAATGTCACTTCGTCTCTCCCCTCTGGACCTGGCCAGAGGAAAATGAGATGAAGATGTTTGTTCCACAGACAGTTGCTGCTTCCCCAGGAGAAGGCTGTTACTCACCACCCTCATCCCTCTTAGCTGTGAGGGATCTCATATTCAGGGGATTCCCTGGTGGGCTGGATGTCTGAAGAAAAAGCAGGGCAGATGGCAGGGTCCTGAGATGACACGGAAAAATAGGAGATGTTGCCGAAAGCTTGCTCATGTCTTTGAGTAGCCACTGCGGCTGTTATCTTGGGGAGGAATCAGGTTTAGTTGGTGCTACCTCCACCAGCCTGACAGTTGGGTGACATCCTGAGTGTCACCTGGACTCATGTGGGAGAATGTCAGCCCAGCCCTTCCCAGCTCCCCACGTCCCTGTCCCTGGGAGTCTGGCCGATGCATTAATCAGCCAGTGGAAAGGCTCAGCAAGTGGTTTGCCCTATGAACCAATGACTTCCTCTGAGGTTTTCCTCCTCCTGACCCTGGGTGGCCTAAACAATCTGTCCTCCACCACCAATCAAAAGGTTGGCAGTCCCACCCAACAGCTCAGCAGGAGAAAGTCCTGGCAATCTACTTCCATAGATTCCAAAAACTCAAAACCAAACTCATTGCTGTGGAATTGATTCCAATTCATGGCAACCCTATGTGTTGTAGGGTAGAACTGCTCCATAAGGTTTTCTTGGCTGTAATCTTAACAGAAGCGGATCATCAGGCCTTTCTTCTATGGTACCGCTAGGTGGGTCCTAACCTTCAACCTTTAGGTTAGCAGTCATGTGCCAACTGTTTTCACCACCTAGGGACCTTCCGTAAGATCGCAGCCATTGAAAACCCTGTGCGGTGATGCAACTCAAAGAATATAATCAGTGTCACTGAATTGAACATGTAGAAACGGTTGAATTGGTGTATGTTTTTCTGTGTATATTCTTAACAACAACAACAAAATAAATACAAAAATAAAAGAAAACTGTATGGAGTGCAGTTCTGCTCCAACACACATGGGGTTGTCATGAGTCAGAATCCACTTCACCCAAACGGGTTTGGTTTCTTTATTTTTGGTCTGGGGCCCCAGCCCCCCAAACTCCCCGCCTTTACCCCCGACATATCCACTGTGGGTCTTCCACACTGAGCTCTCCACACTATGTCTCCTCCACAGTGGTGTTTGGCCAGTTCGCCTTCTTCCACACGGCCCTCAATGATGTGGTGGAGGTGCACGACGGCCACAGCCAGCACTCCCGGCTCCTCAGCTCCCTCTCGGGCTCCCACACAGGTACCGGGGCTCGGCCAGCACTGGGGGCAACGGTGGGCTGGGGGCAAGGAGGGCAGGCTAAAAGGAAAGAGGCCTTGTAAGCACAGCATGGCCACAGGTGGAGGCACACAGATTTGTGGCGGGTGCTGTCTTCTGAACACAACAGCCAACTCCTGAAAGCCCACATGGAGAAGGGGCTTCAGAAGCTACTCTTATCCCAAGCTGTGTCTATACCACCCTGAAATAGTATATCATCCTCCTGTTTGCCTATACTGAGACCCAACTTTCTTTCTAATTATAAACATATTACATTTTCATTGTAGAAAACTCAGGGAATTGTTTTCTCTATACAAAAGAATTGTATACAGAATTAAAATAAGAACCAACCACACTAAAGAGTTATTGTATCTCCTTCGACTCTTTATACCTATTTAATCTTTAATCTCTTACATATCTTATTGAACAAAACAATATACATGTTTTATTGAAATATTTACTGCAAGCATTTCTGTCATTACTTTTCCTTCTATAATAGGATTTTTAAATACTATGTAGTTGTCTATTATGTAGTTACTTTAAATGTATGTAATTAATTTTCCATTATTGAACATTTAGATTGTTTCTAATTTTTTACTTTTCTGAAGAGCAATTTGACATATCATTCATATATCTTTGTATACGTCTCTGGCTGTTAACCTTAAAATACATTTCTAGAAGTAAAATTTTCAGGTTAAAAGATAGGAGAGTTTTTTTAAGGCTTTTTATACAGATTGTCAAATATCCTTCTAGAACGGTCTTGCCACTTTGTTCACCAGTAATGGGTAAGAGGGCATGTTTTCTTTTCACAAAAAACTAGGTAACTAAAAAACAAAAACTTCATCAGTCTGATAAGTGAAAAATTGTATCTCATTTTCTGATTTGCCCTTTTTATTACCAGTTAGGTTAACCTCTGGGTAATACGTTTATTGGTCCATGCATTTTTTTGTTGTGTATTTATTTGTGAGTTTGTATTGATTTTTCTACTAAAACTTATTTTCTTATTTATTCAGTAGCATTCCATATTATTATAAGCAATATATATTATATGCTATGAAAACCTCTCGTCCATATTATATGCTATGAAAACCTCTTGTCCATATTATATGCTATTACATGTTTAGAAAAACATGTTTTCATTTGCCTTTATTTTTCTTCAGGGTGTGTTTTACTGTCCAGGGGCAGAGGGGTTCATATAAAAATGTGAGGTTTTATGTCAGAAAATTTTAATTTTCTGTAAAATCAAATCTATCAATATTTTTAATAGTCTTCTCCTTTGCGTTTATGCTGATCAAATAAATATACATCTGTGTTTTCTTTTACTTTTCAGTGTCATTGTTTTGCTGTAGTACCTTTGGAATTTATTTTGGTTTATCATTTGGTTTAGGAAATACAACTATACTTTCTCAAGTGTAGTTAATCAATTGTTAGCAGAATTTTTCACTGATTCAGAATGCCAGCTTTACATAAATTAAGGATCTGTTTATAGACATTCTATCCATTTTCTCTAAGTGTCTGTTTATTCTTATGTCAGTATCAAAAAGCTTTAATTATTGAAACATTGTAATAATTTTTAAGATAGTATAAGTCCTCATCGTCATTCTTGGTTTTGAATTGTTTTATTGGCTACTCTTGCTTACTTTTACCTCCAAATAAAGATTGGAATTATATTGTCAAGTTAAAAAAAAGTTTCATCAGAATTCTGATCGACATTCCATTAAACTTATAGATTAATTTGGGGAGAACTCACATCTTTATAATATTACCTCTTCTTACCATCCAGAAACATGGTATGTCTCTCCATTTATTTGTGTTTTATAGGCCTTAGAAAGGTATTCGAATTTTCATTTAGTCAGTATTTATTTTCTGTTAAGTTTATTCCTAAATATTTCATGGCGATTTTGTTATTTCTGTTGCTTCTATAAATGAGTCTCCCCCCACCCCATTATATTTTCTAACTGTTCTTTGCTAGTACAGTATATTAGAAGACTGGTGTTTTTGTATATTCATTTTGTGAAGTCACTGAACTCTCATAATACAGCTAATGCTGCTGACTGATTCTCCTGGGTTCTCCAGGCAGGAAGCAATATCATCTGCAAATAAATTTCTCATGATTTTATATCCTCCTTTTTAGTAACTTTGATTTTCTTCTATAGTTATCGGCCTATTCAGGCATATCTCTTTAATATCAATGTTGATATTTTACATTTTAGTAAAAAATTCATTTATTATTTTATTTAGCTGTACAGCTTGTATAGTATACCGTGATAGTATACTATGATAAGGATAATGTTTACTCTCCTTTGTATTAGTGGCTTTCTCTCTTGCCTTTACCACATTGTGTTCATATTTGTGCTGTATCCGAGTTTTTTTGTTTGTTTTGTGTGTGTGTGTGTGTGTGTGTTTAATTGGGCCTATTTATCAGTTCTTAGGTGGGATTTGTTGTTGTTTTCTAATTAATTAAACCCTGCATTTATTTTGTAATTTCTCCTTCCTGCTTTTCTTCAGTTTATTTTGTTCTTGTTCTAACTTCTTGAACTGAGAGGTGTTTTTCATTATTTTCTCTGTGTAATAAAGAGCATGATTACAGTTACATAGTCACCACTCAGCATAATTTTCACTTCATGCCATAAATTTCATATGTACTATTTTCATCATCATTACTTTCTAAGTAGACCATAATAATGTTATTTTGTTCTTTTGCCCAAGAGTTATTAAGAATGTCCTCCCCCCAACACACACACACAAGAACTTGGATTTTGTTGTTGTTGTGTTTAAACTTTTATTGTTAATTCCATTTTTATTGCCACGTGGTTAGAGAATGTGACATGTACCATCTCTATTTGGGGGATTAAACCAGGTCCTCTCAGTAACCAAATACATTTTTTGTAACTGCCTAAGTATTTGAGAAGAATGCGTGTTCTCTGTAGGTGAAGAGACCATATAGTGAGAGATGACGAGCTCAGGCTCTGGAGTCACACTGCCTGGACTCTCATCTGGGCTCTCCCACTTGCTTGCTCGGTGACTTTTGGGCATACTACTTAACCTGTCCTAGCTTCAGTTTTTTCATCAGTAAAATGAAGACAATAAAAATTCTACTTGCAAGAATTATTGTTAGGATTAAGCGAGCTTTGTAATAATCATTAAACTGTCTTACTCAGTTTTATTGCTCAAATCCCTTATATCAGTGATTCTCTACCAAATGATGTTTCCATACCACTACCCAACACATAGACACCCAACAAGAGTATAATTCAGAATCTCTTGGGGTGGAATGCTTTTACAAAATCTCTTTCTTGGAAAAGATAGATCGATAGATAGATAGATGAATAAGTGTTAAGTATAGACATAGAAGTATAGATACAGGACCTATAGAGATTAAGGTATAGAGAGAGAGAGAGACAGAGAGAGAGAGATGGAGTCCCCAGATGGCACAAATTGTTAATGGCCAAAAGGTTGGTGGTTCAAACCTGCACAGAGGTGTCTTGGAAAACAGGTCTGGTGACCTGCTTCTGAAAGGTCACAGCCTTGAAAACCCTGTGGAGCAGTTCTACTCTGCACACATGGGGTCTCCATGAGTCAGAATTGACAGCAACTAACAATAACAACAACATAGATACAGATATAGGTATAGATATGGGTGGGGGGCGGTGGTGGTTCGGTGGTAGAATTCTCAACTTCCACGTGGGAGACCTAAGTTCAATTCCCGGCCAATACATCTCGTGTGGAGCCACCACCTGTCAGTGGAGGCTAAGCATGTTGCTATGATGCTAAACATGTTTTAGCAGAGCTTCCAGACCTTCCAGAAAGGCTTGGTGATCTACTTCTGAAAATCAGTCAGCGAAAACCCTATGGATCTCAACAGTCTGATCCACAACCGATCACAGGGTTGGCACAAGACTGGGCAGCATTTTGTTCCATCATGAATGGGATCACCACGAGTCCGAGGCTGACCCAACGGCAGATGACAACAACAGGTATAGGCATAGATACACAGGTATAGGACCGATAAGAATAGAAAGAAGTAGGGCTAGAGATAGATGTAATAGATACAGGACCTATGGATATCAGTATCAATACACTCAGAGAATCTGATACTCCTCTTTTGAAGAAACACTGATAATTCGCTACTGGTATAGATGGGAATGAACTGTGTCCATGTCCTTCAGTTGTGTCAGGGGCCAAAAAAAGTTTGAGGACCACTATCCAGTGATGTCCATTTTGTTTTTCTATTTGATATGTAATTGATTGAGATTGTTGTTAAACTATCTCCCACTACCGTTGTGGTATTTTATTGTCTTCTTGTACTTCTAACAATTTTTGCATTTCTGTTTGTCTGATGTATCTTTGCTCATTTTCTCTGAGAATCGTTTGCTTTTAAGAGGAAGCTGAACGTTTATTTTATGAGTAAGCAGCTTGGCCTAATATATGTCATCTTGTTTTGTTTTGTTTAGGTTTTTGTTTGTTTTGTTTTATTTTTGCTCCCTCGCTCTTCTATCCTTACCTGTTGTTGTTAGTTGCCATTGAGTCATCTCCTGTTCGTGGCGACCTCATGTATAACAGAATGAAATGTTGCCCAGTCCTGTGCCATCTTCATGATCGTTAGTATGTTTGAGTCCATTGCAGTGGCTATTGCATCACTTCATCTCATTGAGGGTTTCTCTCGTTTTCACTGACCATCTACTTTACCAACCATGATGTCCTTTTCTAGAAATTGGTCTTTCCTGATGACATGTCCAAAATAAGTGAACCCAAATGTCTCCATCCTCTATTGTAAGGGGCATTTGTTGATATATTTAGGCTTTTATATTATTATTATTACTAGTTACTATAGCAATATGAACTTCTACCCTGAGAACAAGTTTTTACATTTGCATTTAGTTTTGTTACCTTGTTAGCAATAGTTATTTGGATTTAACTGTACTTTCCTGATTACATTTATCCCTGCCAATTCTTCATTTCCCTATTTCAGCTCATTTTTTCAGCAGGATTCATAACTGCAGTACTTTCTGTCACCTGGCAAAGATGAGAATGCCTTTCTTTTGACATATCATATAAATGACAACTTGATTGCAAATCAAATTATGGGTCACACACCTTTTCTTTCAAAACTCTGGAGCAGCGGTTCCATTCTATTCGGACATGTAGTATTACAAACAAGTTGGAGTTCAACCTGATTCTTTATCCTTCTGTGTAACCTATACTTTTCTGTCTATATATATGCCTTTCATATTTTTTCTTTATTCTTAAAAAGTCCACTAGGGTGTGTTGTGACAGAGGTCCCTTGTTCTGAGTTATATCTGGCACTTTGCAAACTATCTCAGTCTGAACCTCAAGTTTTTCTTAAGCTTTGGAAAATTATCTTCTTTTATAAATTGATTTTTCTCCTTTGATTTCTCTGTCTTCTCTCTCTGGAATTCCTGATATATGTATATTGGATTTTTTTGTGGAGGGGAATCTCTCTTCCATGCTTCTTGTTATTTCTTTCATTATTCTAATCTCTTTTTCCTGTGGATCCTGGGAAAACTTTCCGAATTTAATCTGTACTTTACTATTCAATTTATGCAGAATCCAACTGCCACACACTGGCTTTTCTTGTCTCTTTGCAGCCTTTACAGATCTCAGCTCCCTCCTTGACCATGTCTTCCTCCTCTGATTTCATAGATAAAAAGCTAGATGTAATCTTGTTACAATCACAATTAAAAATCTTCTGAGATTTTTTTTCTGTCCTTTGTTGTAGTTTCACAGAAAATTTTTTACTTTGACTTCTCATAATGGTCTCGTCCTTTAAAACTTTGGAATCTTTTCTTATGTCCAGTGATCTTCTTGTTAGTTGCCATTGAGTTGGTGCCAACTCATGATGACCTTATGTATAATAGAATGAAACATTGCCTGGTCCTGTGCCATCTTCATGATCAGTGGTATGTTTGAGTCCATTGCTGTGGCTATTGTGTCAATACATCTCACTGAGGGTTTCTTTCATTTGTGCTGACCCTACCAAGAATGATGTCTTTTCTAGTGATTGGCCCTTCCTGATGACATGTCCAAAGTAAGCGAGCTGAAGTCTTGCCACCCTTGGTTCTAAGGAGCATTCTGGTTGTGTTTCTTCCAAAACTAATTTGTTCATTCTTCTCGCAGTCCACGGTATATTCAATATTCTTTGCCAGCACCACAATTTGAGTGTATCAATTCTTCTTCTGTCTTCTGTTTTCATTGTCCAGCTTTTGCACTCATATGTGATCTTACTGTGTGCTTATTTATGGAGTGGAAGGCCTGTGTGTGTCCAGGACTGGACATTGAAATAGGTTCTGTAAGAGATTACTGGGGTCCTTATCCAGATATGTCAGGCCACATGATGGGAGGATGGAAAAGTTGAATTTTGCTCTGTTCTCATCCATTGGAACCTAGAGGATGAGCTACAAATGGAGGCAATAGCGGAGAGAGACAGCCTTGTGAGTTTCATTTTTTGTTTGCTTTGACAACAAAAGTAAGCTGGGGCAATGATTCTTAGCCAGGCTCAGCCATCTGAGTCAAATGTCAATCTAAGCGTGCTGTGCAAAAAGCTCTGCACTCCCCAGGGCTGATGGCATCACATGGGCTTTCTAGAAGCACTGGGGGAGCCAGATGTGCCTCCCAGTGGTCTTTGGCTGGTCCTGACTGTAGTGGAGGGGTACCCTGGCTTCTGTAGTCCCTACTTCCTTCTGATGGTGAAGTCAGCAGTTGTCCTTGGGGTCCCTAAGTTTGCAGAGGGGCAGTGTACAGAGTGGTCATGCCACTGCCCACCATCCCGCATCCTCCCAGGGCTCCCACAGGAAGGTGGTGACAAGCAGGACTACACTTCACAGCTGCAGGTCCAGTTGATGCTGTCTTGACTCTCATCCCATCGGTACTATATCAAGCAAAAATATCTTTATCTTCTGATGTAAAGGCCACCAGCCTCCCTTAGCTTCCAGTGCTGATGCAAGTTTTCACCAATCTGTGTGTTAGTGGTTGAGTGACAGTTCAATCTGGTTTGCCTGGGTCAGTCCCCGCTTACACTTGGTTGTCCCAGCGTAATAATTTAATAGCAAACAATTTCCCTCTCAAAAGTATCCTAGTCTGAGCAATCAATTATACAATCGCCCTGGTTAGCGATCATTTCACTGGGGATCTGGGAAAGACCAGTTACTCCCAGATAATCACATCACCTTCCTTTCCAGAAGCTGGTAGCACGTTTTTCATCAGATCAGTGTCAGTTTTCCAAGTAAGCCACTAGTCAGTTTGATAACAGCCGTTCTCCCCATTCCCATAGGGCAAAACATCTTTGGAAGCGTTCTCCTTCCCAGGCAGTTATTTAATCTTTCTGAGCCTCTCTTTCTCAGTCTATCAAATGGATAACCTGAACTCTGTCCTGCCAACCTCATATTGACCACAGGTCAAGATAAGACATGGCTGTGAAAGCCTTCTGTTAACTTTAAGGTGTGGTAAAAATGTGAGATTTTATTTCAGGAAGACCTGGGATGTGGAAGGAATTGCTAAGTGTGGTATTGGCAGCCCTCTTTCCTGGTCGGGATTTTTTCTGCTGGGCTTCACTGCTGGACTCACTCTCTCCCTTTCCTCCTCGCCCCTTGTCTCGGCAGGAGAATCGCTGCCCTTGGCCACCTCCAATCAAGTTCTCATTAAGTTCAGTGCCAAAGGCCAAGCACCAGCCAGAGGTTTCCACTTTGTCTACCAAGGTATGTAGGACAAGGATGCAGAAGGTACAAAGGCAAGCTCGGTCTCCAGTGACTCAGTGATTGAAGGAAAGTGAACTTGGACCCCCTGTCCTGAGCCTCAGTCTCGGTTTTGGGGGCAATTGCTGGTTTGTGGGGCCGTTCCCTGGAATTCAGGTGAATATCATATATTGCTTTACTCAACAAATATTTCCTGGGCCAAAATCTATGTCGGTTGAGGAGAGAAATCAGACATGGGAAGCTAATCCCCCACCCATTGTCTGGTATATAGTCCAGACACCAGCCCAGGCCTCTTATGTAGACTCTCTCCCACCGAGCTTTGTTTTGTCTACAGGGCACAGTAAAAGTGTGGGGGAAAACACAGGCCTTGGAATAAGACGGACATGGATTTGAATCCAGCTCCACTATTTCTAGCTGGGGGCCAGTTACTCCACCTCTTAGAGTCCCAGTTTGCTCACCTAAAAAATGAGATAATAATAGTGGTTACCTCAAAGGATTAAAAGAGACTCGCAAAGTAGGTGGCACAAAGCAGGAACTCAATAAATGTGTCTTCCCTTCCTTACTGGCCATGAAAGGCAAAATCTTGGAACATCTTGACCTATACCTACAGGCCCCAAGCTCTCCTCTTGCAGGAGACTGTCCACCTTTCCAAAGCCCTGGTGGTGCAGTGGTTAAGAGCTCGGCTGCTAACCAAAACGTCAGCAGTTCAAATCCACCAGCCACTCCTTGAAAACCCTATGGGGCAGTTCTCCTCTGTCCTATAGGGTCATTATGAGTCAGAATCGATTCAACGGCAGTGGGTTTGGTTTTTTTGGTGTTTTGTCCACCTTTCAAAGGCCAGGTTCTACTCACGGTCCTGTTCACCTGACTGCCCAGGATGAGCTGCGTTTCCCTGTGCGGGGCTAATCCTGCCACGGGGGACACATCGCTGTGGCCTGTGTTAAAGGGTCTTTGCTGCCACTGTGGGGAGCATGGAGGGGAGATTCAGATCATGGAGCGCAGGGCACTGGGCAGGCTCTTAGGGCACATGGTGAGAAGAGGCCAGAGGCGGAAGGAAAGGCACCCAACATGGAGGAGGAAGGAGCCGTTCTCCTTGTTAGGGGACATGGGACCCTGAAGTGGGGAGGGCATCATTGTAAGGGCAGAGAACAAAATTAGGCCTCATGTCTGGGCCCAGTGAACTCACACCACCCCCATGGTTTCCAGAAGCTCCGGTGCAGTGTTGGGTGTCTAACTAGATTTCAGTAAAATGGTCATTATTCTAGCCCTACCCTTGCCCTAAGGGAAAATGCTCAGAGCCTCTCGTGCTCCCATCTAGACTGTCTCAGCCGCAGTCCCACTGTGTGTAATTCCTCAGCCAATCCCTAGGCAGGCGAGGGCTGCCCCTCAGTGCCCTTTTCCTCTGCAGCGGTGCCTCGAACCAGTGCCACGCAGTGCAGCTCAGTGCCGGAGCCCCGCTATGGCAGGAGGCTGGGCAGTGACTTCTCAGTGGGCGCCGTCATCCGCTTCGAATGCAACTCCGGCTATGCCTTGCAAGGATCCCCAGAGATCGAGTGCCTCCCTGTTCCCGGGGCCCTGGCCCAGTGGAATGTGTCAGCACCAACATGTGTGGGTGAGTGCCTGGACAGCCAGGACATGGGGATGGGGGAAGCAGCAAACAGTCGATTCTTCCTGGGGGCCAGGGGGCTAGCAAAACCCAGCAGATGTCCCAAGTCACACAGCAGCACCTTCCCACCAGCATGACTTAAGTAGGAGGTCCCACTCAGGCCAAATTACTAGTCCTGTGGGTTGGGTGTAGAGGGCAGAAAGGAAGAGGGGGTCAGCATCACAGGGGAGGTACCAGTGTGAAGGAAGGAGCATGGGAGGGACTGAGGGTCCAGGTCCCTGAAGCAAGACTGTGTGAGGAGAAGTCATGGAGGAGACCAAAAACAAAAGGAGAAGGCAGGACTGGGGGCCATAAGGGAGAAGCCAACAGAGGGAAGAGTCACTGATGGATGCTGGGAGGCCCTGAAGGAGGAGTCTGTTTGGGGAGGAACATAAGGGGACCACAGAGACAACCATGAGGAGCCTCTGACCCAAAATGCCTGTCCTCCCCAGTGCCATGTGGAGGCAACCTCACAGAGCGAAGGGGCACCATCCTGTCCCCCGGTTTCCCGGAGCCCTACCTGAACAGCCTCAACTGCGTGTGGAAGATCATGGTCCCGGAAGGTGCTGGCATCCAGGTGGGGGCAAGGTGGCACCTCTGTCTGGCAGGTGGCCAGCTACAGGTGCTGCCTGTTGCCAAACCCTGGAGTAGGGAGAGCCAGGGAGGAGAGGTATCAGCCCTACAGCTAAGGAGGCTCAATCCGTGTATGGAGATGTGGTCCACAAACAGAAAAACACAACAGCTTACAGGCTGTAGGAGCTTCGGGGGCCTGAGGAGAGGGATGAGTAACAGGAAGGAGAGGTGGGCATGGCTGGGGCTGACAGGGAAGGCTAAAAGGAGGAAGTGGACCAGGAGCTGGAATACAAAGATTGGGAAGATTCCCTGGCAAATTTTTTTCAAATGGGTTTGAAATGTGTACTAGTTTCCTATGGCTGCCATAACAAAGTACCACAAACTGGGTGGCTTAAAACAACAGAATTTATTCTCTCACAGTTCTGGAGGCCAGAAGTCTTAAATCAAGATGTCAGCAGGGCCATGCTCCTTCTGAAAGCTCGAGAAAAGAGTCTCTCCTGTTCCAGCTTCGGATGGTTGCCAGCAATTCTTGGCATTCCTTGACTTGTAGCTCCATTACTTCAATCTCTGCCTCTATCGTCCCATGCCCTTCTTCGCTGTGTCTTCACATGGCCTCCTTATAAGGACACCTAGTCATTGGGTTGAAGGCACACCCAGATCCAGTATGACCTCGCTTTATCAAATTACATCTTCAAAGACCCTATTTCCACATAAGGTTAAATTCTGAGGATCTGGGTGGGCACAAATTTTAGGAGGACACTATTCAACCCAGTATAACGGGTTTCTTCTTAAGATTGGTGGGGGACGGAAGGGGAGACATTGCAGGTAAGGGAAAGGAGTGAACCAACAAACACATGGAAGCATGGAGAACTACCAGGTGCGCTCCTATGGTGTTGGAACTAGGGTATCACACCTGAGCCATAAGAGCAGAATTGGGGGCATAACTGGTGTTCAGTGGTAAGAGCCAGGTGGAGGGAGGTCCCAGAATTGGTGCTGTGGCATGAAAGTGGATCAGGAGCCTGC